GGCCCAGCCACAGAGCCCAGCCACAGAGTTCAGGGCGCGGCCTGGGCTCTGTGGCTGGGCCTTGTCCTCCTCTTGTCCTCCTCTTGGCCGCGCCCCTGAACTCTGTCAACTCTGTGGCTGCGCTCTGTGGCTGGGCCTTGTCCTCCTCTTGGCCGCGGTGCTGAACACTGTCAACTCTGTGGCTGGGCTCTGTGGCTGGGCCTCGTCCTCCTCTTGTCCTCCTCTTGGCTGCGTTCCTGGGCCCTGTCAACCCTCTTGTCCTCTTCTTGACCGCGCCCCTGAGCTCTCTCAACTCTGTGGCTGGGCTCTGTGGCTGGGCCTTTTCCTCCTCTTGTCCTCCTCTTGACCGCGCCCCTGAATTCTCTCAACTCTGTGGCTGGGCTCTGTGGCTGAGCCTTGTCCTCCTCTTGGCCGCTTGTGAACTCTGTCAACTCTGTGGCTGGGCTCTGTGTCCAGGCCTTGTCCTCCTCTTGTCCTCCTCTTGGCCGCGCCCCTGAACTCTGTCAACTCTGTGGCTGGGCTCTGTGTCCAGGCCTTGTCCTCCTCTTGCCACAGAGTTGACAGAGTTCAGGGGCGCGGCCAAAAGGAGGACGCCACAGAGCCCAGCCACAGAGGAGGACAAGGCCCAGCCACGAGCCCAGCCACAGAGTTGGTTCAGTGGCGCGGCCACGGAAAATTTCAGGTGCATGATGATGGCGACTGGTCAGGCGCCCATCTCCTCCTTGCAAGACTTGGGAAAGGTGCAACTGCTTCACCCGGTCCTTCAGAACGGTTTCGCAGCGGAATGGAGCTTTCATTCGGTATGCTGTAGTGGCAGTAGCAACTGGCCAGTTGACGTGGCCAAGTGTTTTAGCGCATGTGGACAGTGTGCTTTAGCTTGCAGAGCAAGAGCAAAATAAGGGCAACCGGCCATTCGTGGCCTTTCTGTACGAAGAGCTTCTCTGGTAGAATTGGGCACGACGTGTACAAAAGAATGACGCAAGCCTGGACATCCAGGCAAAGGCCCACAAGATTGACAAAGGTTTGCTGGCCATTGCGAAACGCAGGCATGAACCCTCCGCGTCAGCCGAGCGCATCCAGCCAAGATGAGGGGACAAGTTGGTGCCTTGCCAGCGTGCAGCTGCTGAAGCAGCTCAAGAGCAGACTGACCGAGTCACAAAAAATTGCTTGAGACGCAGCAGATGGTGTTCAAGGAAAGTCAGAGTGGCAACGATCAAGATGCCAAACAGCTCACAGACCCATCGATGTCCAAACGTGCTGTCAAAACACGCAACTGGTGGTTGAACCGTGACAGAAGGGATGCGCTGCGCAAACAGAAGTACCAGCAAGATCACGCCACACGCTGACTGGCGCCCGGAGCGCAATCTCGTCACTGGCAGCAGCCTTTGGCCAATGAGCCTTCTGGTGTGAGCAACTTTGCCAAGACCAGCGCGTCGCATTCACCGCTTGAAAATAGAGACCTGCCAGGTCCCTCATGGCTTGGGCGCCCCAGTTGGGCTCGATCCGTTGCAACATGTCAGTTTTGCTTTGCCTGCAAAGCACCGCGCTGGCTCTCTGCAAGCTTTGAATTCTGATTTGCAAGCTATTAATCCTGAGCTACAGCTTCTAACTAGCAGCATCCATGGTCCTTTGCGGCAGTCTTTGCTGGCGATGGCTGGCGTGACAGCTAAGGCTAAGGGGTTCTTGCGCGACCTCCAGTTTGGCTTTCCTCTGCTGGGCGAGTTGCCTCCGCGCGAAGGCAGTAGCAAGACAGACGTATTCAAGGCAGGAGTGACAGCGCAGGAACTGCAAGACGGTCGAGTTGAAGTGGCTAGACAGGTCGTTGCTGCAGTAAGAGAGTTGCCGCTTTCTGCAGTGCTCCCAAGTAATATCAAGTAATGGAAGATTCCCTTTTAGGAGCCATGACCGCACCTCAGTTGTTGTTGCCCGCTGATCTTCAAGACGTTTCTTTGTCGAGGCGCGCCGGTCAGAGAGTGGCGGGCTAAAGGCTGGAGAACTAGGGTTGTTGACCATGAGTCGGAGAGTAGAGTGAACTTGGCCACTGCGCCAGCGCCGCGCAATAGAATCCAACATGACACGTTGGACACGCCGGCTGCAATTGTTAAATTTTGTTGACCATGGCAGAAACGTTTGCGTGTGGAAAGGTGACAAGCCGAAAGCGTTTCGCCGGGTCCCAGTCCGGTCCGAGCATTTAGAATTCTCACGGGCTGTCTGGGCTGGCCAGGGTCCGTTGTGGACTGCCCAGCACAGAGGAATGCCTGTCGGGATTGTCTGAAGCACACGCCTGGCACAGGGTAGGCCACACTCTCCACACTTTTGCCCTCAAGCTTTTCCGCGCGCCCGCTATGTTGATGACTTCTTTGGCGCTAGGCGTAGACTTCTCACTGCGCACGTCCAAACATCACTTGGCCTTGGTGCAGGCGCGGCTATGGCCCAAGATGTGAGACCTCAGAGCACGGCGCGCGAGAGCCTTTCATCCAAATCGACATACTTGCAATCTTCCCAGTGGGTTTTTTCAGGCGCTACAACATTGGAAATGACAAGGCGTTGATGCGGGCTGCCGAAGCCTTGAAGCTTGACAAAGAAGATGTCTTCACCTCTGGAGTCGCAGTTCTGCTCACCACGCGTGACATATGGGTAGGACTACGCGATGCTTGGCGCCTGCGCGAGGAAATCTTGCTGAAGAAGTGGCAGGCTCCGCCACCAGCTTCTGCGAAACCTTGGTGACTTGGGTGGCTTGGCAGCTTCCGACATCAGTTGACAGGTGGCTGGCGTCAGTTGGCAAGTCTGACAAGCCAACAATCTGGCGCTCCACAGTTTTTGGCGCCCGCAGCACTTGGGCGGCGCGCTTTTCTGCAGGTGACATCAGGCGCTTGTTGCAAGCGGCCCTGCAAGCAGCGTGTCAGGAAGCTCGCGCCCAGCGAAAAGGCTTGGCTGCGCAAGATGCTGCACCCTGCAGCACAGCGTGCGGACTGTATAGATCTGATGCGTCAGAGGTGTTACTTGCTTTGCAGGACAAGGCTGACGCATTGGATTGCGCTCAAACAAGCAAGCGGGCCGTCTGTTGCTTCTGGATTGAAGCCTTGGCGCCAGTTTGCAGTTGTACGGTTGGGCTACAAGGTGGTAGTGGCAGAGAGAATTTTTTGCCTTGTTCTCAGCGGCTGGCGCGGCCAAGATATATCTTATCAGCGGCTTCGAACAGCATTGCGTACAGATGAGGTCACCTTGGCGCTGCAGGGCCTCAAGAAGGCAGAGCAAGCAAGCGCGCATCAAATCCTGAAGGAGGTCAAACTAACGGCGCAAGATGTCTTGCTTCAACTTCTTCAACCTTTGTGACACACTCCATGAGCTCAGATGTGACGGGATTTTCCCGCTGCGTATACAGACGCGCGCACGACCATGCATTTGCCAAAGTGGGCGGCCGGATGCCTTGCGCCTCCCACAGGTTGCGGGGCCGCCTCTCAACCATGCAGCCCGGAGAACCTATGTTCCAGTTCACAGCCAGCCAGTTCTTGCAACGCTTTCGGAACTTGCTCTCTCTACTTCAGATCCCAGGCGCCAGCGCTTTCACTTTCAAGGCGTTTCGAGCAGGCAACGCAACTGCCACGGCCAAGTCTGGGTGCCAGTGCATTTCATGATGCAAATGGGCCTATGGAAAACGTTAAAGTACGTCAGCCCTGACGCCTTAGATGAAGGCGTCTTTTGGCGTGAGGTCGCAAATGAAGCTGAAGAGGAGTAGTGGAATTTTATTTTAAACATGTCTAGTCTAGTTGTCGACGGGTAGCTGCAGGCATCACTGCAGGTGAAATCAGCATAGTTGGGAAATGAGCCACGTTGGGAATTGCGAGCCATTGTCCAGTCAATCTCCAGTGATGTTTGAAGCCTGTCGGGCGCTTAAATTCCTGATGGCTTTGAACGACGCGTTCTTTGCAGAGCAGTTATAGTTACTGAGAGTGCTCTTGCTGATTCACCTGCAAAGATCAGAAGTGGACATGTTGGATCTTTCCTGGGCAGCAAAATTGCTGCAGGTGCAGCAAACGTGCTCGACCGCCAACCCTCAAGATCATAGACATTTCACGCCACCTAGACCTCTAGCCCAACGCTCTTGAAAATTCTCAAGGCCTTTAGATTTCTCAATCTCAATACTTTTCTAGATCTAAGGCTTCCTTACAGACCTCTAGATCTTTGCACCTCTAGACAACGATCTTGTTCAGAACTTTCTAGCCCTCGCAAACTCTATATAAGCCTAAACCTTGAGATCCAAGGCCTCTAGACCTTTAGAGCTTGTTGGATCTCAAAAGTTCCCTGGATCTTAAGACCTTTAGACCCCGACCTCTAGTAGACCTGGGAGCCTAGAGATTCTCAATCTCTAGGTTTCACACGTCACAGACCTCCAGACGTCCAAATCACTTTGGATCTCAAGACCTGGGTCTCAAGACCTCTACACCTCTGGATCTCTACTCTGACTTTTACACACATGGGTCTCTAGAACTCGAGATTTGTTTCGACCTCAAGACCTCTAGATCTCCTAGACCTCAAATTCTACATTCGATCTCGGAATCTCTGGATCTTAAGACCTCTGAGTCTCAAGACCTCTGGGCCTCCAGACCTCTAACGCGCCTAGATCTTTTGACCTTCTGCTCTAGACCTCCAAACATTGTCTTTGGAGATGCTCCTAGTCCGCAGTGCTATTCCAAGGCTCGAGGTGGGCGACACCATCATGGTCCACCACCCTACATCGTTGGAGGTCGTTTGACTAACAGGGCAGCATATGTTTTTGCGGGGCGCTCATTCGTGATTCATCTGGTCTTGAGAAGGCTGGCCCATTTTGAAGCACTTGTGGAGCAAACCTACCACATTTGGTGTGAGTTTGGTCCACTATTTTTCCCGGAATCATAAGTAAGAAGAAACGCCAAAAGGGCAAAAAATGATGTCTTAGCAGTTCATCACTTCCACACTTTCAGGGTTGTCGCGGGAACCCATGGTTAGGCAATGGGAACCCAAGTGGCAACAAGCAGAGAAAAAACTTGGCTCAAGAAAACAACGCCCTCTAGTGACTTTGGTGTTACATACCAATGGAGAACAGCAAGGTATTAAATTATTTCAGGATCCTGCGTACTCCCATGTACTGACCACGGCCAATCAAACAAATGAAGTTTGATCCCGGGTTTTAAAGTTGCAGTTACTAAAGACTTGGGAAATAGAACGATAATATGATAATATGAGTACTTGGGTACTTAGGGTGTCGGGGCAAGCGGGTCGGCGGGTGTTCAGCGCGAATGTCGCAGCTGATGACCTCTTACGATTTGTTTGGTCTTTGTTGACAGACTTGTACAGATACTGTGTTCTGGGGCGAATCATCCCGCGTCACATCATTGCATGAAATTCACTATACTAGAAAATCTGAGTTAACTTAAGCCTTTACAAGTTGTTTCTGTTTTTGACACTTGCCACTGACCTGCCACAGACTACTTCTGTTTCTCATGTTCGGTGAACTCTAGTTGACACGGCAAGGGGTTCATTGATTTTGATTCACTTGCAGGACCGATTTGCTGCTGAGACGTTGTCCCACAGTGTCTCACATCACAAAGCGACCCCATCGATTGCCAGCCAAGGTGGAGCTGCGCATGGTAGTCTCTGCCAGGATGCCTCAACGAATTGATTTGTCCATGTGTTTCCGCTGTATGATTTTGGTTGCAAAGACTTCGGGGGCTCGTACAAACCCTAAGGAAAAGAATAAGTCGGTACAACATCGCAGTGTCATCACTGAAGCCACAGAGGCCACCGACGCGAAAGTGCTTGGCTTTCGACTCAGGTTCTTTCCCAGCGCAGCAGCGTTTTACACCAAGCCTTCTCGAAGGCGGCCGTCTGGCCGGGCAGCCGGACTCAAGTTTTGAGACGACAAGTTTCCTGTTTAGACACAGAAAGGGACAGAGGGAGAGAGAGAGAGAGAAAGAGAGAGAGAGAGAGAGAAACACACACTGACTGACTGACTGACTAATACTTGGTCCCAAATATCACTTGGCTTGTGACGGACCTTTGGTGGTCACTCTTACAGGGTGCGCACCACAAGAACAGAAAATTAAGGTGTGCGTAGCGGAGTAGCTCAACTGATGCCCGGACCAGCCGAAGGTCTTTGACCTGAGACATCATAAAGTCTCCATTCAGGCCCTTCGCCACACCTGACGCCAAAAAAATATCCTCACTGGTAAGCACTCCGATTCCATCGCTGTTTGCGTCCTCCTTTGCGGTAAACCTGGGCCATTGCCGCGCATGGAGTTTTTTTCAGTTTGGGCCCCAGAATCGCGGATCCGAGATTTGACCGAAACTCCTTAATTGAGCAGATATCAAGTCATTTGAAAGAACCCTCAGGTTTTGTTGAAGAGATCAACGTGTACCAACTTTGGCCGTGAAGACCACTCAAGGCTGTGAAACTGAGTCCAGTGGATTGTTTCTGGCTCAAGACTTGTGGGTCTTCCAGTTGCTTTAATGGCCCGTCCTGGAACCATTGACTACAGCAAGTGGGAGAAATTAGCAGCTGAGCTTTCGGACGAGGACGAGCCCACCCCTTTGCCAGGCCATGTGCCTCCACCATTTCACGGCAAGCTGAGAGATGAGGATGAAGATTGTGATGAAAATGTTTGAGGATGAGGAAGGATTCGTATTGTAGTATAGTCCAATTTGCTTCGATTTCATGATATGAAACAGTGCTGTTCGCCCCAGGACGCCGAGTCAGACTCAGAGGTGGCGCACCTTGAGAAGAAGATGCGCTTGCAGACAGGGATCTGTGAAAGGTGTGGAAATGAATCAACCAAGCGTTGCTCTCGATGTCAAAAGGCCTGGTTCTGCGACGAGGATTGCCAAGCAGCGGCCTGGCGGCAGCATGCAATCACTTGCTTTGCACACAGCGAGACTCAAACATGGTGGGGCAAGCTCACCTCAGGCAATGCAAGCAACGTGGCTGCCAGAGGCTTGGAAGCAATCCACCAAGAGCGATTGGCCTTCCGGCGCGCAGTGGCCGCCACTTTTCAACGCAAGAAAGCGGCCGCAGCAGCTGCTGCTGCTGCGGCCAGTACACGAGTAAGACAAGGGCAAGAAAAGGGGGTCAATGAAAAGGGCGGAAAGGGCGAAGAGAAGGAGGAGACGTGTGCAGTGTGCCAGTGTGAATTTACAGTGAGCGGTGATTCTGGGGAAGGTATTTGCTGTCCTTCTTCGCATTTCCTTTGCAGCGAGTGCACTGGAGTCTTTATTCAGTCGATCCTGAACGATTTGGGGGCATCCTATCCACCAAAGTGCTCAATGTGTCGTGCAGAGATCCCCATCCCCTCCTTTGAGCGGCAACTCAATCCGCAGCAGCAAAAACTGTTGGCCGAGTTCGTGGCACAGCGAGCTTCTCGGTTTTCTTTAAGCATTTCCACACCACAAACGACATCATGTTGGTTGTGCTGTGGAACAGTGTGATTGGTTCTGCTGTTCTTGAGAGAAGCTGATGCTGGCAAATCGTTGACAGGGGGACATCCAGCTGCAGAATAAATGCTGTACTCGTAGATCATACAAATCGGTTTTAGTATATAAAACTACTTCCACCTCTGAATGCCTGCTCATGCACGCATGATTTCATGTCAGATTGTGGTTTTCCATGGCCACTAGGGCCCTTGAGCTGCAGTTGACTGCGCCCCTTTACACGAAACCCCGCGATAGAAACAGGTGTTTTTCCCGGTGCGGACTTCGCGAGCCGACATCGTGATCAACGAGATTGGTAGCGGAGCAGGCGACGCTCCAGGCTGAGTTCCTCCACGGCACCCTACATCCCAGAAGTCTCCTACGTTCTCCTCCTGCCGGCTGAAGGTAAGATCTTCACCTACGTCTGAGATGGACCGTGGTAGTCCAAGACGAACGCCAGTTCGCAGGGCTAGGACATCGGCCCCTGGTGCACAAGGCTCGGCGCCATCTGCTGCTGGTGGTGGCTTGTTCGCCAACGTTGAGAGGGATGCTGACAATGCCCTCCAACTACCGTTCGCTCCCCAACATCGAGGTGGACTAGACTCTGGACTTGCCAAAGCCTGCCCATCGTCGGAAGGACTGACCCAGAAGACCTATACAGGAGCTACCGACGAAGGCTGGAGTTGTTTCAGCAAGGTCGTGAGACTTCTATAGAAGGAGCATTCCTCGTGATCAGCAAGTTGCGAGATGTGGCATGGGACGCAACACAGCAGTTGAGCTTTGACGAAGTGGAACGTTCGGACGCCCCCTTCAAGTTGGTGTTCCGCCTCCTCGACGACCTCTATCAGTACGAAGATCTCATTGAGGTTCCATCAAGGTGTGATGAGTTCTTCAGTGAATTCCAAAGGAACAAGGGGGAAGAGCTCCAGGCATACCTCATCCGCCACAGAACTTTGCAGAAGAGAATGAGGGAGGTGAACGTTGATGTACCCCCTCTCCTGTCAGGCTGGCACCTTCTCACCAGAGCTGGAGTACTACGTTGGACGCATGTGCAGCTGAAGGCCATGTGCGGTGGGGACATGGACTATGAGAAGGTGAGCAAAGCTTTGATCCGCATGTTTGGCGGAGACCATCGGCCCAACGCCAGAGACCTTGGTCGCGCCTCTCCTTCGAATGCAAAGGAGGAGAACTACTACCAGGAGGAGGAAGAGATGTAGTACGAAGATGAAGATTGGGATGCATGGGACGAGGTCTTCGAAGCAGAAGAAGACGAAGACGACATCCCAGAGGAACTGGAGGAGGCCATGGACCACGCCGATGAAGCCTACGTGTCATATGTTGAGAGTCGGAAGCGCATGAAGGAGTTGGCGCTGTCCCGTGGCTTCTACCCCATTGTGGCGATTGGTCAGGAGGCGGAGAAGGGTGCCTAGGGCAAATCCACCACGGCATCCAGTGAGAAGTCCACGTTCTCTGGATCTACGGCCCAACATCGACCTTGATTCAAGCGCTACAGATGCCAAAACCAGGGAGTGAAGGAAGTGCCAGAGGAGATCACCATGGTCGAGGAGACCTATGTCATGGAGAAGGTCGGATTGATTGGAGATCATGGACAATGAGGTGGAACCATGCTTCTTCGCCGCGGCGGAAGTCGGGAAGGCCATCGTTGACAGTGGAGCGACTCGCACCATTGTCGGTGAGAACAACTGGCATCAATGGCTCGAGAAATATGGTGGCGAAGGCACCAAGCCCATCAAGTCCCGCCAGTCCAAAGGCAGTTCAAGTTTGGTGGAGGAGAGACTTTGACCTTGAACTATGAGGTGGATTTCACCGCATCAATTGTTCCTGGCCACACGCCCTTCCTGTTGGCAAGGCTGACGAGCCAAAACTATATACACCAGCATGGACGAAACCTGGAGGCGGAAAGAGATCGCCAAGATCATGGCAATGGAGGTGATGGTGACCGAAGAAGTGGAGAACAAAGACCTAGAGATGGAGGTGGACCTGAAAGATGAGAGTGTCAAGACACATTCCAAGAAGGCCATGCAAGTGATCGAGAAGCTCGACAGGCAGCTCGACACCCTGGAAGGGATAGATTGGTTGCAGCTGTACGAGAAGCAGGGCTTGATGATGCACTGGTTCAGTGTGCAAAAGAGTATCAGTGCGACACCTGCCAGAACTTCCGGGACAAGAAGATGGCGAAGCCTGCATCATTGCCACAGACCAGCTTCTTCAATGAGCTGCTCGAGATGGACGTGTTCCACATCAAGTGGAATGGCGAGAAGATACGAGTCTTGGCCATCATTGACATCTTCTCAACCTATGAGATGAACGCTGTGGTTCCCTCGGGAACCGAGAAGGAGGAGCTAGCTATATCCTTGACCAATGGATCAATGCATTTGGATGTCCGAAGAAGATCCGGACTGATGCATCAGGAGCACACACGACTGAGCAGTTTCTCCAGTACATGGACGATCGGGAGATCAAGCTCATCTTGGTTCCAAAAGAAGCACACCACAGGATGGGCACAGTGGAACGCCTCCACGCAGTCTGACTGCAACTCTTGAAGATGAAGCAGGAGAACGAGAATCTGTGCCTCGAAACAGCAGTACCTGTGGCATTTTCGACAAGGAACCAGCTTCGATCTATTCATGGAATTTCACCCACTCAGATCGTCTACGGGAAGACATCGGCTGAAGCTGGACTCATGGACGAACCTCTCGGCCATCGAGTCAACCATCCTCTTGATCGCTGCCTATATCTCTCTCTTTGAGGCCAGCTGGACAGGATGACCCACCGTTCCTGGTCTTCGAGAAGCAGGGAAGTTTCTGGACAGTGGATGGCGCTCTTGGACTGCATGTGGATGATTTTCTTGGAGCAGGCGAGATGATCAACAGCCTGAAGGACATCCAAATTGATGCGGCTGGAGCCTGCGAGACATTCCAACAGAGAGCCCATCACCTTTCCAAGAGGTTCCGCTTCGCATCATGGGACTTTGGTGATAAGATGAGGTTCTGTGATGCTGAACTCCAACAGTCACCAGACCTCGAAGTGCAGGACGACTACTGCACAGAGAAGGAGTATCGTTTGCTTTGAGCTTTGGCTGGTGCTATGTCTTGGCCGGTCACCCAACGCTTGCCTCAGGCTGCAGCGACCATTAGCATCCTCCAGGCCAACGTCAACCGGCCGACCGTGAAGGACATGTTGGAAGCCAACAAATGTCTACGGTTCATGAAGGAAGTGTGTTCACGATCCGCAGCCACGGAGCGATGCAGGACCTGCGCCTTGGAGTCTACTGCGACGCTGCTCGGGTCCGACCCGACGGCAGTTCTCAGGGTGGCACGTTGATGTTCCTGGCCAACCAAAGTGGGATGTCTGGAGAGGCTCCATTCCCGTTGATGGTGATTGACTGGTCGAGCAAGGAGCTTATGCGCATGCGCCGGAGCTCGTTGTCCGCAGAAGCACAGTTGGCAACGATAGCCATAGACGAACTGGAGTGGGCCAAGGTGTTCTATGCCTCGATGGTTCGATGGCCAGGTGTACTATATG